TGTGGGCCGCTAAATACAAACAGTCTATTGAACCAAAGTGGAACCCATGATGGGTTAATTCATAGAGTAATTCGGGGTTAGCAAAAGAAGCAGATGAGGCCTTAGCAATTGGTGAGGCTTTGGGAGTGGAATTTTTAGCTTCGAGGAAGGAGGTGCTAGAAAGATTTAAGATGATTGAGCTGTCGGGTAAGTCTTGTAACTGATACATATGGTTGATTGATCCTTAATTATACATGTTCTTTTATTTTATGGATTTGGGTACAGCTATGTTATCATGGAATTTTAGAGGTTTGGGGAAAAGTGAAAAATTAAGAGATATTAGTCAGGTTATTGAATCTAACAAAGCAAGTGTGGTTATGCTTCAGGAATCAAAAGTCTCTAAAATTTCTGTTTCCATGGAAAGAAGGTTAAAAGGTATGATAAGTAGGGAGCTGATTTTAGCGTCTGCTGAGGGTGCTTTAGGAGGTCTCATTTCATTGTGGGATCTCAATGTGTTTAATGTGAGAATGAAAATAGTTCATAGGAGAATGATAACTTTAAAAGGTCTGCTAGTGTTGAATAACTTAGAGATAGGCCTTATTAATGTGTATGGCCTGAATACTCAAGGAGAAAGATTAGAATTTTTTTGAACAACTAAATGATGTTATAGAAAATCTAGATATTCTTGTTATTGTGGGGGCGATTTTAACACAATTAGGTCGGATTCGGAAAGAACATGGGTTCATGATTATTCATCTGGTATGCGAATCTTTGAAGATTTTATTTCTAGTTGGGATCTAATTGATGTCCCAATTTTGGGTAGCCCATTTACATGGTTTAGGGGAGGTGTGAATGTGGCTGCGAGTAGACTTGATAGGTTTTTGATTTCAACTAATATAATGTGTACATTCCCTCAGCTGAAGCAAGTCACTTTTCCTAGAAGCTTATCGGATCACAAACCAATCATGCTTAAAGAAACGTAGAAGTGTCCCACATTCAATTTGCAGACGACCTTCTAATATTCTCGGAAGCAAAGGGTATGGTGATCAAGAATCTTAACCGTCTTTTAAATTTTTTTGAAGTGGTTGTTGGTCTGAAGCTAAATATGAAGAAGACAAAGATTTATGGTATCAATATGGATGAAATTAGAGTAAAAAAGTGGGTTGATTTTATTTATTGTGGTTGATAAGATCTTCTTACGACTTATTTGGGTCTTCCATTAGGACATAAAAAGAATTCCAAGTCACTGTGGCAACTTATTTTAGATAAATTCAGCTTTCGTCTGGATAGTTGGAAAGGTAAACTTCTTTCTCTTGGGGGTAAGTTCACGTTGATTAAATCAGTTTTGGTTAATTTACATGTGTACTACATGTCCCTATTCCCAATTCCTAAGTCCATAGCTGAGAGGATTAACAAATGTATAGCGAATTTTGTTTGGAATGTTAAGAATGAGATAGGCATTCATTGGATAAAGTGGGACAATATTTGTGGGCCAAAATCGCATGGGGGTTTAGGTATATTTGATGTGAACTCTAGGAATCGAGCTTTGCATAATAAATGGATTTGGCGCTTTAGTGAGAAAGGAGATAGCTTATAGAGAAAGATAGTAGTAGCGAAGTATAAATATGATCAGAATTCGATTCTTCCAAAAGTTGTAAATGTTAGGAATTCTTCATGGGTTTGGCGTAATATTATTAATCCGATAGTGTCTAACGGGGCTGATTTTATTTCTGAAGTAAGTTGCGTGATATGTAATGGTTCCAAAATTGAATTCTGGTCCGATCATTGGGTTGAATTGGTTTCTCTAAAAACATCTTTTCCTAGATTATATGGGATAGCAATAAAAAAATTTAGAAAGATTAGAGAGTTCAGTCATTGGGTTTTTGGAGTTTGGGAATGGAAGACTGAATTAAGAAGATCTCTTTTTATATGGGAAATGGCACTGTGGAGTGATTTTATCCAAGTTTTGAATAGAGCTGTAAGTTTAGTTCCAGGTGTAGATAGATTAAAATGGTCATGTTCAATTGATGGCACTTACAATTCTAAATCATATTGTACTAAGTTGGCTTGTGTTGGTAAGTTGGAAGATCCAAGTTGAAAATTGGTGTGGTGTAAATTTGCCCCTCCTAAAGTTTCGGCGTTTGTGTGGAAAACAGTGCATCAAATGTTACCGGTTATCATAGAGCTGGAAAAGTGAGGTGTTCTTTATAGTGATCATCCTCTTTGTATTTTCTGTAATCGAGAACATGAATCAGTTAATCATGTTTTGTGTCACTGCGATGTTGTTTGGCAAGTTTGGCAACGTTGGTGTAGTGTGTGGAAGGTTAATATAGTGTTTTCTATGAAGGTTAAAGGGTTGCTAGAGGTATGGTTTAATCAAAAAATTAGAAGGAAAGTTCAACCTTTATGGCAACTGGGATTGTTTGGTTTGATTTGGAAAATATGGATGTGCAGAAACAAATCAAAGTTTAATGGGAGCTCTTTTTTGGTGGATCAAATTTTTAATGTTGTCATGTTTCAGATAGGGGTTTGGGTGAACAATTTATGGCCGATGTTGATTTAATTCGTTCAAAATTTTGTATAGAGAATCTAAGTTGATGTATAGAGTTATGTTGTTTTCTATTAGCAGGTTATGTTGATACTTTTGTTTGGTGTTGTATTGTAGCTTCCTACTGGTGTTGTTGTTCTGTTATACCAATTCCTGTTATTTACTTCAATTTCAAATTCTAGCAGCTGGGAGGTTTGTAATGGCTTTAGAATGGGTTGGTTTGTGGATTGGTGTAGGGGTTGGGGTATGCCTTGTACGTTGTAATAGCAAATCTTGTATAATGTTCCTTACTATCTCAAGGTACACTCTTTTTCTTTCATTTAGGTTTAGGAAAGTTTTTAATGAGGTCCTTGAGGTGGTTTTGTACTTTTTTTTTTATAAAAAAAAAGAAGTATAAATAATTTAGAAAATGGATGAGAAATTAAAGTAAAGCAAAATGAAAATTAACGTGGAAGAGTGTGGGTCAAATTGATTTCTGGGCTTTGATGGCGGCTTAAGGAAGAAAGGAAGACAGCGATAATTTTGGTTTGGATTTGCTCAAATTTATGAACTTTCCTGGATTCGAAATTTCGTTGTTATTTTAATACATCATCGCATATAACGGAATTAAATATAATAAAAGATTTAATATATAAATTTTACGTGTGAAAGAGTTTTTTAGGGTAAAGTATACAAATGGTCCTCTAATCATAAAATGTTGTTTTGTTGAGTTTTTTAACTATTAAAAATTATAAAATAATCTTCTAACTATATGACGTTACTTTGGTGAATTTCATACCATTAAAAGTTATAAAATGGTCACTTATTATTCATATGTTACAAACTCGTCATTTTCTATTAAAAAAATTAACAGTAATTTGAACTGAACTGCATGAAAATTTGAATTGGACGTTAACCTGCTGACAGAGATATGATAAAATATAATAATCTAAAACGACTATCATATCCCAAACTTCATGTCAACGTCCAACTCAAATTATTGTTAAATTTTTTAACGAAAAATGACGAGTTTTGAACATATACATAGTTAAATGAGGATTTTATAACTTTTAATAGTTAATAATCTATAGTTAAAGAATCATTTTGTAACTTTTAATATTCGAATACTCAATAAAATAGTACCTTAAAATTGGAAATTATTTGTGTATTTTACATTTTTTTAATAATGTATAGTTAAAAAAATGATTCTTTCTGAATAAGGATGACAATGGATCCAATCGAGTTGGATTTTTGCCTACTCTGACATGATATAATGGAATAATAACCTGACTCTGATTTTAATATTGTTTAACCCTCTCTGACTCCGACCCAAAAAAAAATGAATTCCCGAACTCCACCGGACCTGAACTCATTGTAAATCAAATAACTAAAAAAATCCATTCAACAAGGAAAAACAAATCCACAACAGAACTGAAATTTAAGCAACAATATACCCATATAAAATGAACAGTGAAAACAAATAAAAAGTAATAAATTACTATCTAATAATTTTGATGGATACAACAGAAACTAAAGAAAATTAAGCGAAATAAATAAATCATCAAAACGCTTAATTATTTAGAAAATGAATACTCAAAAATCTCTAAAAGAATGAAAAGAATAGGATCCAAAAGATTCATAAACTAAAAATCTCAGATTTTTTAATAGAATAGTAAACCTTTTTCAAAGTTTAGTTTTTTTTTTCTTTGAATAAAAACAAAAAAATTCGAAGAAATCGAAAGAACATCTGGACGATGAAACAGAAACCAAGTTAAATGTTTTTAACCTTCAAACATTTGAGTGAGAGACACTAAATTTAGAAGAGAAAATGAAATGAAAAAAAAATTAAGAGAATGGATGAAGTATGCGGCAGAAAGGAAAGAGAAGTAAAATGAAAATGAAAACCTAAACATATATATATATATATATATATATCATTTTTATAAACAAGTTAATATATATAGTATAATATAATTAAAATTATCTGGGTCGGGTTGAGTCGAATTTTTAACCTCAAATCCGACTCCGATCCGAACTTGAATCTTTTTAAAAAAAATCTACTTCTATTGGGTCAGGTCAGATCAGATCAAAATCCGTCGGATTCAAGTTAAATTGGCATCCCTATTTTTGCATAGGTACATTAATTGGTATTCATGTGATCGATTTAATAGGTATTTTCGTTTATAGTTCATATCTAGGATTGAGTTTGCCACTCTAATATAAAATATAAGATGTACTAATGAAATATATTACGTTATATGATTACAAGATGATATCTATTTAAAATCTTTCTTTGTTATTAACAACGCGTAGACACACACATCATTAGGAAGAATAATACTCTATTTAAGCATCGAAGATATTTGATATGTTATACGTAAGAAAGAATTTGTGCTTTGAAAAGTCAATGTGACACCTCGGATTCGTATCCGGGTCGAGTACGGATTGGGGTGTTACAAAAACAATCATTCGAATATTATCACCGACCATACTACTCAAGTTGAAGGCTACTCAACTGTAATAACATGATGATTTAAATCAATGCTATTAGAAGTTTTCTGCACTTGTTTCTGCTTATCTAGCTCTTGTTTCCCATCCTTTTCGTTCTTGAAATGAGCTAGAGTGGCTAATTCATGAACCGACTCCGAAATTTTCTCGGTACAAGCGAGAACATCGTGCAGCAGTGAAGCAACCGTGGCCACTGCTAGAATCTCCACCACATCTATGTCCTCACACAACCGTGTTTTGAGCAACGAATTGAGTTTCTCGGTCGCATCCTTCGCTTTCGCGATGTGAGCACGATGAGATGACGGTGCACTCATTGTTTTGATTGCTGATGCTAATTCCTTCATGGCTTTCCCCGATTCCGAGCTTATTTCCGTGCATGTTTCTTGAAATTTTCCACAGGTTTCTGGTGAAGCCTGTACAAGATGTTAATGGCAATGTAAAAAATTCAGCAGATGCTTTTAATATTTTGGATATGAAGTTTGCTTGATGTGTACCTGAACATCGGAGTCGAGGCAGCCATTAAGAGCTTCGACTCTGTAAGCACATTGTCGAGTGAGGCTCGCGACCATCAGGTATTGTTTCCAGGGATGACGGAACTTGAATCGTCCATGTCGGGGTTCCCATCTAGCAGAATTAACCTGCGGTCTAAGATAAAATTTTATAAATTTATCTCTTAACATAAAATTTGACGCCGGACATAAATTTTTTTTCTCAAGTAGTTATCCTCCTCACCCAAGATTCTTCTACTTGTTTTGAATTGAGTATGCTTTTATATCCTTGTAGCGATGCTTTGTTTGACTCCATTTCGCTTGATTTTGTGAAGTATTCATCCCCAAAACCTGCAAAATCACATCCATGTAAGTTCCTGTACAAAAGAATTGTTAAATGGAATTCGAAGCTTGAACCAAGAGATTTTAACTAAACCCATTGACTTCATATAAGCTTATATAATATCAAAATTAGCCCCAAATATTTATTTTTACGATATACGTCTTGTCAACCAATATCATCCGTCACCTAAAACAATAAGGTATCGTGTGTCGTCATCTAAGATGACATCACAGAGTGTGACACATCATACCTTGTAAGAAGGTTGCAAGATTTTCGAGATTGTTGGCAGCCAAATTATGAAGATCGTCGCCAGCCCAGACGGGGCAGATGAAAATGCAGACGAGAAGAGCAGCTAAGGCACCAATAAGAATGGTGGATACTCTTTTATGCGCCATTTGAAGCACCTCTTCATCCCGATAACCCGAAACCGATATCAAGCAAAACGTCAATATGAATATGAGCAGCCCGTAATCGTATCTTGCCTTCATTCGTGGAAAGAATCGTATAAACGACACCGTTGTAGCTGTAAATATCAGCCCAAAAATCGATTTCAGACATCAGTTGTTATATTATAGGTCAATGTATGTTCAAAGAATGCGTAATGTAAAAATGTTTTGACTAAATAGTTATTGGCAAAATGATAAAAATTTCTTTTAGTAGTCACTGTGGTCCCTAGATTTTTTTTGGGATCATTTTAGGCTCCAAGGTTTTATTTGGGGGAGACTCATCAATTGATGAAAATCGTTAGTAAACAAACGATCAAAACTCTAAAATCAAAGATTTTTTTGTCCTGAAATGAAATGCCGTGGGCCAAAATAATCCAAATAAAAAGTATAAGGGCTATTTAGTTAAACGCTAGGAGTGTTTTTGCCTAAAAATAAAAAGTCGTTGAGAGCCAAAACACTATAGAATAAGGTTTTTTTTCTTTCTAAAATGAAATATTGAGGTCAAAATGATCCAAATAAAAAGAATAAAAGTTAAAATTGAATATTTAACCAAATGCTAGAGGTTTTCTCTACTTTAAAATGAAACATTATGAGCTAAAATAACTATTTAGTTAAACGTTAGAGGTATTTTTTAGTATTTTTAGTTATCCCATTTTTCTACATTTTTCTCTCAAAACAAAAGGTTAAAAATCAAAATACTAAAAAAATAAGAACTAAAACGATTATTTAATTAAATATAAATGTTTTTTTTTTGTTCTTTAAAGTTTGCATTTTTATTTTGGATCGTACCTAGAATGAACACAAAGATTCCCAGAAGTATAGGCCGAACTATGTCTCCAGGCAAGGTAGCTAAGTGGTGAACTCCAAATCCCAATGCTCCGGCTAGAAATGTTGCCAACCCCCTGTTTAATCCTTTTACAAGGGTTGCTCCTGTCAAAAAAAATAACCAAATAAATTCATATCTATATTTCGACTTGGTTGATTCGTTCCATCCTAAGATTTAAATAGTGGTTTGTCACTGAAATAGTAGTTGTTATAGAATGGTTTTGATGTCGTCTGAAATTATCATTGTACGACCGTGATAACCATAACAATATCCGTTATATCCATAATCGTAAAAATGTAATACAATCGAAAATACGTCTGCAATCGCAATTTAAATTCCTGATTTCATCACTCTGGTACCGGAGAGGCTTACCTACAGAGAACTCAAAAACGACGACCACGGTCAAAATAGCCCACATTGCAGAGTTTCCGAAACCAACATAGAGAGGATCAAAATAGTAGAAGAGGGAGACCAGTGTGATGGCTAACCCAAATTTAAACGAATGGACAACTCTCCTAGGATCGTCTTGTGCTACTTTCTTTATCTTCTCCGGAAATTCAGCCACCTTTCTTCTTATTTTCACCGTCGTTTCCCTAACCGCCGCCCACCGCCGCCGGCATGGCGACTGCTCTTCTACTACTACTGCATTGGCCTCCATTGTAACAAAATCTGATGAACGAAAACCGTAGGTGGATTCATATATTTATAAGTTGATAATGCATGCTACTAGAGGACAAAGGAACCAAAAAAGAAGGAACATGGAGTTCGGCACCTTAGGCTGTCATTTTGAAAGAACGATGTACGTGGAAAGTTCAACCGATGGGGACGTCATTTAAAAGGAGACTTTCATTTGGGGTCGCTGAGGGTCCTTTCAACATGGACTAGCTGGCCAAACCTCTGTATTTAGGTGACACAAAGATACATTTATTTTTATATTTAAACAAAATCAATAAGCTGTACTCATTCATTTATATTAGACAGTGACAACTGTTGAACAAAGGGGAAAAATATCAGATACACAAGACAACGAACCACCCACTAGCTGCTCACTGGATTAAAATGGTCCGCGTGTGCCATTTTACAGCTATACTTGTGGTGCGGGTGGTTGGACTTTTAGGTATGTATTTACTTTACCCTAATAACTCACTTTATGTGATCTTTGTGTTTGTTTGGTTAGATTTGTGGTTAGTTTAATAAATTTAATATTTTGTTACATAAATTTTGATTATAAATATATATATATATATATTGTTTGTAATTTTTATATTACATTTTCAATGTTTTAATATTTTGGCGTCATAATCACGGGTTTAATGTTGTTAGTAGTTATTTTCTGAGTTCCTTTTCCCTTGCCTAGGTAAGAAAATGGATTTCTATACTTATTTGGGCTAGTATTAATTTTGGTATAAAATATTTTAACTCAAATTTAAAATATTTTCGTATGAAAGAGGATATAAATAGGATTTTTTTCTTTGATCTAAATTTTCTTTCAACATTTTTGTGTCGTCTTCATCATTTCTTATTTTTGTTTAGCTAGCGGCGACAATACTTTTAATACTAGTCGTCGATCGTCGGTGATTATTATTTTTCTTGTTCTTTTTCAAATTATGTCATTTGTTTTTCCCCTTGAGTTTTTTTAATTAAATAACAATCTTTATCCTTGTGACACATTTTTCTATGTTCTTATTATACGCTTTTTTCTACTCTTGTGGCATGTTCCTCATAGATTTTGGTACTTTTTTTTGCATGCCTCTACAGTCGTGTTGGTGCTTGCGCAAAGACACTCACGATATTTATTTTTGATTAGTTTGTCGATGGTCACGTTTTGTCAAATCTCCTATTTGGAAAAAGATTATTTGTCATTATAATCATAATTGTGTACGATTCAGTATGCCAAATTATTTATTTCGCATACTACTTCTTTATCACTTTGTAAAGCGTCTCATTCGACAGAGATAACGAGTTAGGTTATTGAGTTCTTTTCGTATATTTGGGTTTAATAATTTTATTTTTATGTATGAGTTTTTTTTACTGTCCTCAATTTTCTCTTTGGGTACGTTGTAGGGGCTAAATTAATATAGTATTGAATGTTGAGAGTTAATTTTTTTAAAATTAAGATCAAATTAAAGACGTTAAGAATTAAATTTTTTATCACATCGATTTAATTAACTATCATGTTATCTACCGTCAATATTTTAATGAAAATAAATTAATTTTTTCTTTACTTTAGATGATCATTTTATAACTTTTATCTAAATAAACATAATAAAAAGCATCTTATAATCAAAGGGCTATTTACATAATTTACTCAAAAATATCATCTGGAAATTTTGTAGTTTAATATTTTTAAATAATAACGATTAGTTTTATTGAATAAATAAAGAAAGAATACAACAAAAATTTCTGATATCAAGAGAAAATAATTTATAAAATCTAAAATAAACTAATTCTACTGATCAATCATTTTATTCTAAAATTATTAAGGATTATAAATTAATTGTTTAAAATATTATATAAGAATAATATTGATTTATGAAATATGCTTTTTTTGGTAAATAATATTTTAAATAATTATTGTTTTATGTTTCAACAAAAGAATTAAATGCCACGAATCTCAACAAAAAATATTGTGAAATTATTTTTCATGATTATCGACCATATTAGAAGTTGCTTTAGGTTGTCTCAAGATCTAATTTTCATGATTATCGACCATATTAGAAGTTGCTTTAGGTTGTCTCAAATTGAATGATTTTTAATATATAGCTATTATTAAAAATTAAAATTAAAAAAAATTAAATAACTCTAACTATATTTTACGTTTTTATAATTTTAATTTGTTTTTATATCACAGGCAAATTGTATGGAAAAAAAACTCCTTACACTAATTTTAAGAAAATGAACATTGTAGCACAAAATGTGACACCTCATTTAGGTTAATAAATCAAGGAGTTGATTTAGTTTCCGAATGATTTTCTTAAATTTTGAGGAAAAAGAAAAAAATTATAATTGTTTATTAAAAATAAATTGATTCAAAAATTGATTACAAAAATTTTGATTCAAAGATCAGTGGAAAAAGACTTTAAATTAAAATATGGACCAAATTGTGTGAAGGGTCAAACTTAAAATTTTCAAAAAGTAATTTAATTATCGTATTTTTCCTCCTAAACACTAAACACCTAAATCACACTCAATTTTCTAGAAAACTAATATAAAAAAAATTAAAATATATGATAAATTTAAATTTTTAGGTGCCCTGATAAGATTTTTTTTCCCGCTCATTGGTGCTTCTCACTTTTCTTGCAGGGTTATTCATCGGTCTTCTTCTCTCCGGATTCTCGTTCCTTCATTGGGGGGTTGCTTGCTGTCTATTTATTTGGGGTGGTAAGGGTTTTCTAGTCAAAAAGAAGAAAGCTGTAATCCGATTTCAAACACCACCTTCTTTTTGCCTCAATAAGGGAACAACGCTAGAAAACCCTACATTACAATCACAAAATTCAAATTCAACATCAATAAAAGGTAGCCACGTACTCAACAACCTACTATTTAAAAGCAGATACCGATTCCAGAATCCTAGAGAAAAACAAAACAAAAAGAGTTCAACCCAAGCTTCCTTAAACTCAACAATGTAAGGATGCTGAAGTCGCGCAATAAGAGCCATCTACATTCCACAATATACGAACCAAATTACAACTTGTAAATCGAAACTCTCTACTACAGATTAAATTATTTAAACAAAATAAGTTAACTAACTTCTTGATGTGCAGATTTTCTGCAACTCTCCGTTTGCCGCGCTAGTCTGATCTTCTTCAGCACATACCTGAAATTTTTGAAAAGATCACCAAAAATGAAAAAGGAAAACACACAAATGTATGTTATTAGAAATTTAGAATGTGAGAAATTAGAAGGATACTTTTTCTTCTCGGATTTGTGGTGAACGAGAATGGCAGCACCGAAAGCACCACGGCCGATCTGTAACATAATTTCGTACTGATCCATCCGAGACTCCATTGCTTTTAACTCTTTGCTCGACTTTTCCCCTTCCAAATCGACGTTTCCAGCAAAAGGAGCGATCAAGGAGAGAAAAATAAAATTGGAGGAAAAGAACGTCAATTCATTTTCTTCTTAAAACATTTTTTTCTCCGGATCTCGACAACATTGCCGGATTCTTCGCTTCAATTTCAATGCTGCCAATGCGTTTCAACAAAAATTAAAGAAGAAAACGTTTTAAACGATCATCATTTCTCAAAGCTGAGGAAATCTTCGTTTTACGATTCTCTCCTTTCCTTGCATTGCCGGTGAGTTCTCCGAGGCCTTCTCTTTCACTTCACTTTATAGCAGGAAATCAGAAGATAAATTATTTTATAGGGTAAACTAATATTTAGTATCTCAACTATCACTTTTGTTCTGTTTTGGTCACTTAATTATTTTTTATTTTAAAATAATATCTAATGTATCATCGTAAGGTAATATCACATCTTCATTGAAAATATTGAAAATATTTCATGTCAGCATTTCTGCTTTTTTTTTAATGAAGTGTGATAAAAATGAAACCAGAATGTAACCTTGATTGTAATTTTAAAAAATATAATAATTAAGTGACCAAAATAAAACAAAAAAATAGTTTAGATACCAAGCATGTAGTTTGCATTATTTTAAATTTTGTTTTTAGTTCGCAATTTTGTATACGGAGAGAACAGTGGTTAAGTCTGTGTTTTTTTTTACTGTTCCACCTCTTCAAACCTCTTATGTCTGCGCCGCGCAGACCACACGCAGACATTAGGCTTCGCAAACCGTTTGTTTTTTAGAAGACAGAAGCTCTTCTAACGTCTGCGCGAGCTCTTCTCGGTGCAGACATGGTTTTATGTCTTCAAAGGTCTTCAAACATCTTCAAGAACAATTATAAAATATGGTTATTTATTAAAATAATTTTAAATAATTTAATAAGGTTATTTATTTTAAAATAATTTATTTTAAATAATTTATTAGTATGGATTGATTTATTTTAAAATATGAATTGATTTATTTTAAATAATTTATTAGTATGGATTGATTTATTTTAAAATATGGATTGATTTATTTTAAATAATTTATTAGTATTGATTGATTTATTTTAAAATATGGATTGATTTATTATTGTAGTTGTATAGATTGATTTATTTTAAATAATTTATTAGTATGGAATGCTTTATTTTAAAATATGGATTGGTTTATTTTAAATAATTTATTAGTATGGATTGATTTATTTTAAAATATAGATTGATTTATTATTGTAGTTGTATGGATTGATTTATTTTAAATAATTTATTAGTATGGATTGATTTATTTTAAAATATGGATTGATTTATTTTAAATAATTTATTAGTATGGATTGATTGTATTTTAAAATATGGATTGATTTATTATTGTAGTTGTATGGATTGATTTATTTTAAATAATTTATTAGTATGGATTGATTTATTTTAAAATATGGAGAAATCATTCCAAATGACAAGCTTGTAAGGAAGTTAGTTTACTATCTTCCAAAAGCTTGGCAATTAAAGAAGACGACGATCATCGAGGCTAAGAACTTAAAATCCTTGACCCTCGATGAACTTATTGGCTCTCTCCTCACGCATGAAATGATGTTTAAAGAAGAGGAAGACCTTGAGAAAAGAGACGAGCCAAAGAAGGAGA